TTTACCGTATGATCTATAACGACTAATTAACTTTTATTCAATTAACTAATTTCCTAAGCTTAATTTTGGTAATAAATTATGTAAGATATAATATGAACGAGTTTGTAATATATGAATAGACCAAAATTTGAAATTTAAAATATTAACTAAATTATGATTGATGGTAAAGTTCTTGATTTCATTTGATCATCATGTAGGATATGGATTGTAATGTATGATTAGAGCAAATTTAAAATTTCTTATTTAAATGTTTTAATTATTCCCTATTTTATCCAAATTATACGATACAATAAAGATCGTACAATACAAACATCCCATAAATTTAAGCATTCAATTTTTCTCCCAAGTTTGTATGTTTGCATGAACGCTAAGCTAACATAGACCTTTCACGAGACATTTAACTCAATAAATATAAAAATAAATAAATGAAAATATAGACTCTTACAAAATATCACCTATTATCTCCAGTCTTGAGTCTTCAGCATTTGTTGCACGATGTACGACATACCTAAAATGTTTGTGCACATAAGAAATATGTAATAGAAATATAAAGAGAAAAAAAGTTAAAAACTAAAAATATTTGCTATTGTAAAAATCATAAGCACGAGATCTCAAATTGCAACTAAAAGAACATAAAAAAAATAATATGAGTATTATATGGTGTATATAAAAAAATAAAAAAAATGTTGATGAATTATGATGAGAATGCCTAAATATAAGAAAATGCTTTTTGTTAAAAAGAAAATGCTCTGTGACATATTTTTGGACTCCTTAAGCATTGACATCCTAAAATAAGGGGACAACTAATATATCACAAAAAAATATATTGATCAAGAATGAATCTCGAGGTAAATTTTAATTAGAAACTTTCAAAATTAAATTCAAATCCATTTGAACCCTAATTCTAGCAAAATTATTATAAAGATGAATGTATCAAAGAGATGAACTCAACGACACCAAAATCAGTCCAATATGAACATGAATGGGTTAAAATCGAGGGACCGAAGCCTATTTAGAATATTCAAAATATTAATTAGATAACCAAATGATAACTAAATGTGACGTGCTCATAGTCAAATCAAGAGGTTCAATGGGAAAGATCCAACTAGCTAAAGATACTTAAATTTTGACTTCATTACGACACTCAAATGCTTGATCAATAATCCATGATCTAGGGAGTTGATATCGACCATCCATCAGAATAATTCCAACATACCTTTGATATTCTCCTATAGTAGTCATTCCACTAAAAAATCTATAAATAGGCCCCTTATGCTTCATGCTAGGAGGAGGATGTAAGAAGAGATAAAAAATAAAGGATCTCCCTTGCTTTCTTAAGTTTGCACCACTAGCTATAGATTTCTTCCAGACCAATATCGCTTACTAATTATGGTCACTCTAACCTCTGTTTCCCACCGACTATGGTCCACTCCGACCTTTGTTACCCACTAAATATGGTCCTTCTGACCTCCATCTCTCACTGACTATAGTCCCTTGGACCTCCAATGTTTGTTTACTTAGGTCCACTCCGACCTTTGAAACCTGAAGACTACGGTCCTTCTGACCTTTATCGCCTAACAACTACAGCCATTCCGACCACCCTCGCCCACCAACCATGGTCCACTCTGACCAAAGTTACCCGTCGAATACTATCCTTATGACCTCTGTTGCACGTCGACTACAGTCACTCTAACCACCATCAACCATGGTCCACTCCGACACTAAAGGAATATTTCCATTTATATGTGGAATTTTCTATGGTATTTTGTATGTCGGTAGAAGTGGCGCATTAATTGGCTAAAAATTATCAGCAAAAAAATGATGGGCCAAATCGTTGGTCATTATAAAGTTAGTTGTTACTTCCGACAAAAAAATATGCCAGAATTGACCATCATAACTTTTGATGGAAATATCATCTGCTTACTTAAACTCGACGTAATATTACTGAAAAATGATTCTCACCTCAGTCGCTTACAGGGTTCTCTTTCTTCGGCAAAAACTTTTGGTAGAAAAATTGCGGCCAAAAATACTGTTAGAAAGAGCCATGTTTCTATTTTAGTAGCTATGCTCTTCTCATTTCATTTCTACTCGCTCTAACTCTGGCAGTTACCTTTTTCCTTGACATTCGTGTATGTTGTCGAACGTCGCCTCCATCGTCGATCTTCGCCTCTGCCACAGATGTTCGCCTCTGTCAGTCGCCTCCATCGTCGACGTTCCCAGTTTAGTTGGATAAAATATGTCGTAAGTAACCCATTTAGTTTTTATTTGGTCATAGATGATCCTGGTAGATATTTGCAAGTCATTGTATCTTGGTGTATGTATTTTATTAATTATATTCTTCTTATGGATAAGAGTAGAGAGGGAGTTGATGTGTTATGAAAGGAGGCAAAAATATTCATTTGATTCTCTCGGTAGACATTTGAAATGATTTATGGTGTAAAATGTTGGTCATTAAATGAGAAGACTAACATTAAGTTAAGTGTTTATAGAGATGAGAATTCTCATGAGTGAGAGAGTAGCCTTAGATGGCTTGCTTACATAAAATGACGGCCTCCCGATGACCTAGTTAGGAAATTAGAGGTATTATATTCGGCTTATGTTAAGAAAGGTGTAGAGATATAAGATTTGGCTTATGTGGGTAAATTTGCTAGAATATCTTCGGCTCAAATTATGTTTTCACATAGGTATCCCCATGAAGACCTATACTCGCCTTTTTTTGGCCTAGTGGGATTGATGATTATGATCGTGGTGTTTCATGAGACCGACTGTGCAGGTCTTTCTTGTCTTGACGGGCAGGCTATGACTCTTTATATTTTTTTCAAAATGATAGAAATGCTCGGATGCTACCAAATTTTTATTGACAGGGGACTTGTATGAAATAACTTCATCCAATTTATAAATCAATTTGAATTCAATTATAAATCTACAATCTCTAATATCTTCATATTATATATATGTTATATTATGGATATTAGAAATAAAAAAAGATGTATATATAACTGATTGGCATAAGGTTGAAAAACATTAATAGATGAGTTCATTAATGGGTGAATTTTTTAATTTAAACAGCTTTTCAACAACCTAGGTTCATCTCAGATAAAAAGTTTTGATACCCATGTTCTAATCATAAAAATTAAGTGCACCTAAGCCAAGATAATGTAATTATTGATCTATATCATAGAGAGTTCATACCAAAATATTGGTATTTGACTTCTTATGGTGAGTAAAAGCTGCATTTTGATTCTCGATGCGTCTCATCTAAAATTTTTAATAGAGGTGAGGAAGAAAATATTTGACCTCTTGAGGACTTAGTTTGTGATGCAACTGAAGCACAATTTGAATAATAGACATAAGAGTCACCAAATAAGGAGGCATAGAATTTTTATGATTTGTTGCATGTTGCCCAACAATCTATATGGAAGAGGTGCACCACTCAGTCAGAGTTATTCATTACTGTACAAATGTTAAGCATCAAGACAGAATATAATGTATCCCGTGAAATTTTTAATCAATTCGTTGGGCTGCTTAAGAAACTCAACCTAGCATATAACATAATTTCTACAGATTTATATCAGACTAAGAAGTTGGTTTCGAAATTTGATTTAACATACACAAATATAGACTGTTGTGTAAATGAATGCATGTTATACTATAAAAATAATTTATCAGAGATTGCATGCCGTCATTGTAATGCACCAATAGTTTATCCTCTTTTTAAGATTTTGCACATAAAAATCTTGGTCTCTTATGAATATTTCACCATACTCTTTTATCTGTTTGTGTGCTGGATCTTCGTATAAGGTTAGACACTAAACTTTATATTTCTCTATTGTCGTGGATATTTCAAGATGCATCAAACATAAAGTAGAAAATAAAGAAATGATCAACAAGTAGTCAAACTGTTGCAAGTGATCTCCTAGGTATGAGATAAGACATTTTAGTAGTAGCACTCTTATGACAAATTTTTCTTGCAAAACTGCCAGTCCTCTTATACAAATTGGCATGAGAGCTATTTTAAGAAATTTTCCTATTTATATTGAATAGTAAATGATTTTCAAAATATTTAGAAGTCAATTAGAATTTTAAAAAATATTTTGAAAGCCAGTTACTTTTCCAATCGCCTTTGATTAATTTTATAAAACCTTCAATAATTACAAGTTCAAACATGTCAAAAATAATATGAAGTTGTCATCCATGTTTTACTTGCAAATTGTCAAAAGTAATATGAATTGGTCATCTACATTAAACTTATGAATTGTATAATTTAAAGACATTTAATTTGACTTAAACGACCAACCCAATGACTTTATTTAAGGCAGTTTTTTACTGCTTTACTTTTAAGATTGCAATCATAGTTTTTATTCAATTACTATTTTTTACTGTTTTCAAAAATTTACATGTTAAATTATTTTTTCTACCAGTTTTCAAAAAAGTTACTTCCCGTAACAACTTTTAAATCAAATTTATAATAAAAATTACAATCATCCCAAATGAATCATAAATAGTTGAATATTTGATCAAAACATAAATATTACATTATCGGCTCTTTTTCTATTTCTTAAAGAAACCTTTTGTATAAAAATTAATTTTTCGCATTAAAAAATTATTTTAAAAAGCAATAAAAAGGACATTCCAAATAAAACCAAAATATACTACTTTTTAAAAAATCTTATTTTGTCAACATCTCTTTTCTTAATTTCAACAGTTTATTTCTCTGTATTTTTTATTTGACATATTGTTATTTTTTTGTTTTTTTTGTAATTTTTCTATTAAGTAATCTCTTATCTGTAACCAAACATCATAATTATCTATATTCTTGATTATTATTAATATAATATATCGTTTTTGAAATTAAAAAAAAAAACGATTCTGCTTTAAAGCTGGCCATGAATTCTTCAGCGAACTTGCTCACGCGTTTTTAGCAGGTAGACCTACCTAATTTGTTTCTTATCACAGTCAATACTTTAATGGAGAGTATAAACTGCATGAAATGAATTGTAAGCAGGAAGAAAGTTCAAAATGAGCCATTCCTTCTTTATCCCAACTTGGGTTCTATTCTTCCTGATATCTTCCTCTCTCACAATCCAATTTCAATTAGCTAATGGAGGTAATTAGATTTCCTCAGCATTCATTCTTTTTCCCTTGTCGCTGCCAACATAACCTGTTCATTCATTATTTATCAAGCAATATTTTTTATCTGGAGAACTTTTTTTTTGCTTTGTTTTGTAGAAATCGTTGAAGAAAAGGGGAGATTTGGAGGAAGAACTGGTATTAGCCCACCAGCGCCGGCCACAAACCCAATAAAGCACTATTTTCCACCTTTGAAGGGGCCAGGTTGTGGTCCTGATACTCCTGCTGGTCCTCCAGGAAGAATTAACGAGAGGAAATTCAAATGACATTTTTTAGTTGAGGGCTAATGGCTTGTACGTTTTCGTTTGTGATTATAGCTTAATCTGAATCTTACGCGGAGCCTGAGCAATTGGTTAGCTCAGACGTTGCAGATAGTTGAGCTATCTTGAGGCAGAATGATTACGATGAATAAAATTGCCATATTTTGAGCATGTTTTTTATAGGGAAGGATGTTTAAGGTAATAGGAAGAGCTGTTCTTCTACGTGTTTACTAATTATTATTGTTGCAACGAATTGTCTTTAATGGTTGTATTAAGAGCATAATATAACTATCGGTGTTCCATTCGTTAGATGGTGATGAAAATGAAAAATTTCACAGCGCCGGCGAATTAGACTGTCGAAGTATGCTAAAAATTTTGATGAAAATGAAAAATTTCGATGAAAATGAAAATTTTCAGTAGAGATTAAACTATTTTAGAAGTGGAATATAATAGCAGCTCAACAATCACCTCCTAACACGGCAGGCAATTGGAGCAGCCACACACAATATAGCAAAAAGGACAAACATTAAACCATAAAAAACTCATTAAATCCTAGCCATACACTAGTACAACACTTACATCTATAGATGCACTTAGCTGCTACAGTCAAAGGGGTACATGTCTTGTTTTCATTGTAATAGAAATTAGTTCCTTCTTCTCAGTGCTTTCCACATGTATGCTTTAGTTTAGTACACTAGTTCTTACAGGGTATCAGGCCTTCTTGGCTCACAGCCCCGTGAACCCTTAAAATGGCTACTTTGTTTTCTTCCCACACCAAAGAAGCCTCCACAGAACCTACCCCGGAAGACATCGTTATCACCTCCTCCCTAAAATTCCTCATCTCCAACACTAAAACTATTATCCCTATACAGTTGTCTAACGTCAACTACTCCACTTTTAGATCTCAAGTCCTCAAGCCAATTTCCTCGATAAAACTATAGCACCACCTCCCTGTCTTCTTTTTGTCACAAACGACATCTCTCAACCAAATGGCGCTTACAATCACTGGACACTCATCGACCAGAACCTTGCCGATGCTATATGCTCCACCATCACCATAGGGATTCTTCCCTACGTTCTCCATTTGGACACCTACGCCAATATATGGAGTGCATCGAGTATAGACTTCAAGCTACAAATAGGTCCAGAGTAATACATCTCAAGAACAAGCTACATCACGTCTCTATGGGACAATTCACTATGCTTCAATACCTCACAAACATCAAAACACTGTTAACAACATTGCAGCCACCGGTTTCTCCATTGATAGAGAGGATATCCTCCTATATACACTAAACAAAGTCCCTTCACAATATCAATCAGACTAGAGGATCTATACTCTCTTCTTCTAAGTAAAGAAATTAACATGTCCACCAAACTTGCCAAAGATTTCTCAACCCCAAATGTCAATGTCGCTCTTTACACCAGCAGAGGTTGCGGTCGAGGCAGAGACGCTTTAACTCCTACCCTAATCGTGGTCTCTCTGGTTCCTCGACTACTTCCAGATCAGTTCAATCTACAACATACCTTCCTGCTACATCCTCCATAGCTACTACCTGCTAGATTTGCATGAAGAGGGGTTATACCACTAACAACTGCTAGCATCAGTTTTATGCAAACTACACCACATTTTCAGTTGCTCTACTCGCATCAAACTCAATCCCAACCACTGACTGGATTCTTTACTCTGGAGCCTCTTACCACCTTACCAACAATCTAGAGAATCTTATTCAACCAACTATATACAGAGGACTGGCGAGTGTGTCCATTGACGATGACAGAACCATTCCCATAGCCCACTCCGGTCAGGGACTCCTCCTCACACCGACTCATAAGATCTCCTTTCCAAATCTACTTCGCCTTCCTCACTTGTCTCATAATCTCCTCTCTATTTCTTCACAAACCAAAGATAACAATCTTTCAATTCTCTTTGATTCCTTTGGATTTCAAATAAAGGATCTGCATACCAACTCCACCCTCCTATCTGTCCCATGTAGCGATGGTCTCTACCATCTCTTCACCAGCACCCACCATTCTAATACTCTCTCCATCACAATTTCCTCCTCCCTTTGATGGCACCACTGGCTTGGTCATATTCATCGACAAGTCCTCCTCCACCATATCAAAACACAACTGTTATCTAGCTATACCTACCTATAATGCTTATTGCTTTATATGTAAGGCATCTAAAGGCCTTAAACTCCCTTTCTCTAGATCTTCCGCTCACCATTATAAATCTTTAGAATTTATACATATGGATGTATAAGGACCCTCCCATTTCCTTCTAATCAAGGTTTTAAATACTACATATTATTTGTGGATGACTATACACTATTTACTTGGGATTTTCTTCTTATGAAAAAATCTAATATGTTTTCCATATTTACAACATTTCATTCTACTATAGAGAAATAACTCTTTCTCTCACTATTAAGCATATTCATAGCGATGATTAAAGGTTTTGAAGGATCCTTCACCAACCTCATTGTCATGATTTGTCATCAATGTAATAACAAAAAAAAGAATACTAAACTTATTATAATGAAATGATGCAACCAATCTATCAAACTAAAAGAAAAATATAAGAATAATAAGAGTATTTTATGTTGAATATAAAAAAAAAATTGAAAATTTGATGATGAATTTTGTTAAGGATGTTGAAAATTAAACTTGAATTAATTAATTAGGACCTTTAATTGAGCCCATAATCTAAAAAAACCCTTAGAAAATTTTAGAGTCTCATTTTATGAAGAATATTTTGAAGGATTCTAGAAATACATTCTAAAAGAGTGATTTAAAGAATTCTAGAATATGTAATTAATAACTTTTGTAAATGAAGATAGGAGAATATTCTAGAGAGTCAATAGTAGCCATTGGATTTAAATGTGTTGGTACAATCCTAATTGGAGTGTCACTAGTATAAATAGGTTTGGTGTATTTGAGTTTTGTATGAAATAGAATCAAGAAGTGTTAGATTGAAATAAAAGTGAGTTATACAAGTGTTCCTCTTCTCTTTTAGAATTCCTCCCCTTACAATAGCCTTTTATTTTCCAACAAAGTGGTATCAGAGCCAAAGTTTTTTCCTAGAGAGATGGTAAGTAACTATATGATCCCCTTCCAAGTCCCAATGCTTAACAATAGAAACTATGAAAATTGGAGCATCAATATGAAGGCCCTTCTTGAAGCGCAAGATGTATAGGAGATGGCTGAGAAAGGCTACAATGAGCTACAAGATGGGTAAAGTTTATCCCAAACTAAAATGGATAGTTTAGGAGATTCAAGAGAGAGAGACAAGAAGGCTCTCTATTAAATCTTCCCAGGATTAGATGATGATGCTTTTGAGAAACAAAAGTCCTCTTATAAAGGAGCAAAGCAAGTCAAGAACGTGCAACTTCAAATATTAAGAGGTGAGTTCAAAGCCTTACATATAAAATAAGTCAAAGTCATCTTCGACTACTTTACTAGAGTCTTAGCTAGTTCTAATCAAATAAAAATAAATGGAGAGAAGCTAAAAGATGTAAGGATTATGGAGAAAATGCGTTGATCTTTAAATTCAAAGTTTGATCATAATATTGTCTTTATTGAATAAACAAAAGACTTAGAGGCTATGACAATCGAGCAACTCTTGGGTTCTTTACGAGTCTACGAGAAAAAGAAAAAGAAGAAGCAAGTGATCATGGAATAACTCCTAAAAAAGATAGCCTTGAGTATGGTAGAAGCCAACAAGGAAGAGGTCATAGTCGAGGACAAGGCCTTGGTTATGGACATGGATGGTTGGAGCTCTAATACTGACAAGAACAATAATACAAATGCTGGACAAGGAGGAAGTTCAACAAGAAGATGTGGAAGAGGAAAATTAAGACCAAGGTATGACAAATCTCAAGTGATGTGCTACAAGTGTCTAAAATTTTATCACTATGTTGCAGAATATATAACCTCCACTAATAATAAAATTAAAGAGAAGACTAATTACATGGAAGAGAGAAGTCAACAAGCTAGCACTTTGCTATTCGTATATAAGGAGAATAAAAAGGTGAAGATAACACATGGTATTTGGGCACCGATGCAATCAACCATATGTGGGGAAGAAAAAGCATGTTCATTGAACTTGACGAATCGGTGAGCGGCAATGTATCCTTTGGAGATGAGTCCAAGGTATCTTTAAAAGGGCAAGAAAATGTAATATTCTTATTTGATTGAAGAATGGAAAGCACCAATTCATTTCTAATGTGTATTATGTGCCAAATATAAAGATTAATATAGTCTAGATCAACTCTTAGAGAAAAGTTATGAAATTCACTAGAAAGATAAAAACCTTTCTATAAGAGATAATATGAAAACCTAATTGTAAAGATACCAATGTAAAGAAATAAAATGTTCTTGCTCAATATTTAAAATGATGTTGCCAAGTGTCTCAAATCCTGCTTCAAAGACCCATCTTGGCTCTAGCATCTTTGATATCAGGCATCATAATTTTTTTTTGAATGGAGCTATTATGAAAAAAGAAACTGGTGAGAGGTCTGCCCTGCATCAATCACTCATACTAAATATGTGAAGGCTACATGCTCGAGAAGTAATTCATGAAGAGCTTTCCAAAGGATCCAAATTCGAGAGCATAAAAGCCACTTAAACTCATATATATGAATGTATGTGGTCCAATCTAGCCAAGATCTCTTAGTAAGAGTAATTATTTCCTTCACTTCATAGATGATATTTTCAAGAAAATTTTGGGTAGATGTTTTGAAGCAAAAATCAGAGGTCTTTGAAGTATTCAAAAAGTTCAAAACCTTGGTGGAGAAAAAAATTGGCATCGAGATCATAGCAATGTAATCTGATTGAGTAGGGGAGTTTACTTCAAAGGAATTTCAAGAGTTTTATGAAGCCAACAGAAAATGTCGATCGTTGATTATCCTAAGTTCTCCTCAACAAAATGGTGTAACATAATGAAAGAATCGAACTATCCTTGACATAACTCAAAGTATGCTCAAGAGTAAGAGGCTAACTAAGGAATTTTGGGCCGAAGTTGATGCATGCGCAGTTTACTTGTCCAATCAATCTCCAACAAGAAGTGTGGGAATGACACCACAAGAAGTATAAAGTGGAAAGAATCCTAATATCTCTCATCTAAGAGTGTTTGGAAGCATAACTCTTGTGTGCGTACACGATGAGTAAAGCAATAA